TCAAAAAAAAAGTTAGGGGAACTATAGCAAAGACAGCTGCTTTTAATCAAATAACGGTTACACAAGATGAAGCGGTAGATTTCGGCAAAAATAGTGACTGCTATGAACAATACCACTGCCCTTGGAAAAAAATTCGTTTTGCCAGAGAATGGAAGCAACGAGAACAGCTTCAAAAAGGAAAAGAACCAGAATCATTTAGCGCTGAACATCAGACGCAGACAGTAGCGTCTGAAAAAATAGCAACGAATGATGTGAAAACGGAAGGGGCCACCTCAAAGCTGATATTTGATGAAGTAGTAGCAAGATCTGAATGTATTTTGTCTGAACATACGCAAAAGGAGATCACTGTAATTCTCCAGCAACAGCAACAGCAACAGCAACAGCAACAATTTCAGCAAAATCGACGAGACAGTTCCGATAGCAATTCTTCCCTCTTAAGCAATTCAAGCAGTCAATCATCCACATGTGTTATACCTACTTTTTGCACTTGTACTCCGCAGCAGTTGAAGCAACAAGAAGACGATAGTGGAAATCCTTCATCTTGTCAATGTGGTGATTCTAATTTGCAGGACAACGAATCGGGCTGTGACGATGAACTGTGCGAGGTTCACTGCAGATCACAAAAACAAACGCAAAGTGAACAATCGACTATGAATGATCTTTGTCAGAGATTCGATGAAAACTTAGAAACTTTCATAAAATTTTCCACTGAGGCTGGAACCGACAGCAGACCAAATGACGAATCAATACATTCATGCTTGAAAAATATTTCATGTCATGACTCTGCATTGGGAAAGACAGCCAGTGATACGGCCAACCCTGATGTACGTTGTTCAAATTAGTTAGAAAATTACAAATATTTACACTATTGTTTCAATATCCCTATTTATTTTTATTTATTTATTTTTTCTTTTTTATCTCATTTTCATACATTTGTGGTACTTAATTAATAATCATATTAATAATATATGTACATATTATGTTGTCAATAAAATCAAATGATATATTTATTCAAGACGATTTTACATGTACATAGTTCCCGCTTTAAGAATAGTTTTTAAGCTTGTATCATTTGATATGCACTACGTTTGTTTATTAATTGAATAATTGACTACTTACTTTAATAATTGCAGGGATTTTTCCGACGATCCATTCAACAAAAAATTCAATATCGTCCATGTACAAAAAATCAGCAATGCAGCATTTTACGCATAAATCGTAATCGTTGTCAGTATTGTCGGCTGAAAAAATGTATTGCAGTTGGAATGAGCCGTGATGGTAAGCTTAATTTTCTATATTTAATAATACACACGTACTACATGCATATATGTATACTTATGTATGTATATAGATACAGATGAATGCATCAGATGCTTTAATTCCCAGAATTATGCTGGCTAATGGATATTGTATTAAAAATAAGCATCTCTATACATACATATTCATAAGTACTTGTATTTGATACACATATTTATGAATTTATGTATGTATGTATGTACTATGGTTGTTAATTTTTTTTAGCTTTTTCCGATTCCGGGATTTTCGGGATGTCGTTATCACAATCCCGAAATCCCGGGATTTAGATATTCATTACCTTTCAACAACTTAAATCGAAAAAATTGCTTCTATATTGTTTGAGAAGCTCTCCCACCATAAAAAATAAAATAAAATGGGTTTGAAACGTATTTTTTTATTTAAAATGACGTTTTTATTTTTGCTCTCTGACATTGGGATTTATTTTAAAGGACTTTGTAATTTTAAAGTTATGATTAATTCCAAAAACTATTAAACAAATTATATGCAATGTAGAATAAAAACATGGGTACCAAATGCAAGAGGAAATTTCTTTAGAATTAAGAAAAATTAAAATTTGTTGGATTCACAAGGACGAATAGGTAATTTTTTAAGCCGATAAAGTTAGAAGGACGAAATTCGAGGATGTTATCGAGCTTATATAAGTCCTTTCAATTCATTATTCATTATTTTTCAAAAACAAATATTGCGAAATTTCAAGGATACAATTTTAAAATGACATTTTCAACACTTACCAGTCCTTCAGCACCAAAAACTTGAATCTACGGAATTTCCTCTTTAATTTGATATCCATACTTCTTCTATAAGCACAATTCACTGAATTTTTTAAATAATTTTTGGATTGCTGACTTCAGGGTGAAAAACTAAAAAA